ATGAGCAGTGCCGTTTTTTGTGGATTGTATTTCTTAGACACTAATTCATGTCATCTTGAAATGCCGAATCATAACAAAAGGGTAGATTATTGCTCAATGATTTGCCACAAATGGTATTTAAACCATTGCTTGGGGACAGAAAAACTTTGAAAAGAAATAAGAAAGCCTGTGCCGATCAATATTATCGTCAATAATGTTCCACTCAAACGTTTCCTTTAGAGAGGTAATATGCATCTGTTTCATACACCACAAAACAACTGCATGAACAGCCAAGTATCTTATTCCCTCTGGGCAAGATACTCGGGCCTCTGATAAAATAAGGACTTGTCCATACATGGCAGAATTAAAATGTATGTGTCACCATATGCGTTGGCTAAGCGATACAATTAAACTGCTGCTGAATGTAGCAGTTGTGCTAAAGATAATCAAGGTTTTACAGTTTAATTAGCAAAGATGGCAGAACTTCCATAATCTGTAAACCTTCACAATCCTCCACGGAGCACAGGCAGAAAAAACGAAATCTTTCTGCAAAGCAAGTTCATCAGCATGTTAACACAGCGTTATTAATGTGCCTCCATTACATAGCATCAAATGTGTTTAATAAAAACGGCATCCCATAGTGTCACTATAGTAACTGCTTTTTATAGCAGAAAACAAGTCTTATCTCCTTATTTCAGGGCCTCAATTATTGCTCAGCTAATTAAAACATTAAAGCAGTGTCGCTTAAATGACCTCATGAGGCGAGTTGGCACTGGAGCTGAGATAAACATGCAGCATTGTGTGCGTTTACTTTCACTGTCATTTGAATTCACGTGCAAGTACACGCAAAGACACCAAGAAAAATACTCTGTGCTGCACGAGCAGGTCCGTATTGATCGCTCATTAATATTCATCAGCCCATAGAGGCTGTAGTAAAGAGGTTCAACAGTGTGAAGAGAGCTTGGGAATGAGACAGGAAAGAAAGAAGGCTGGGCATGAACTATGAGAGGCTACGAGGAGGAACACAATGAATGAGCTTCGAGGTAGGGGAGAAGGTCGGACTATTTTTTTAAGCAGAAATAAGAATTAGAAGAGAGGAAATCCAAGCGAGGAAGCTAAAAGCTAGGAGGGAAATGGAGGTGTGGAGACCTTGAGACCTCGATCCTATTACTGCAGAATCTTAAATAAGGCAGGCAGAATGCCTGGAACAAGAACACTCCTCTGTACAGCAGCACATGAACACTCATCAGCAATCAATATGTACATAATTTGAGACGGATAGTTCAAAGATGACTTTACTATTTTCCATTGCAGGGCTAGCCCTCAAAATGATTATCTTACTGATCACCAGTTTAGTTCAGCGATTGCTTTGTCTATAAAAATGGAAGGAAATAGGCTAAATGTACTTGTGCAATGACAGAAAAGAGGAAAGCTCCTGTATTTGAAAAGGTAAAGCCATCATTTTTTTTTAAAACACCAAGAATTATTCAAAATTTCTGTCAGCTACTGTTCCGTCTATTGTTTCAACACCACCCCACTGAAAGACAAATGCAAAAGTAACCATCGGTAGAGAAGTTTCAATCAAGACACTTGACATTATTACAGAAACCATCCATTTTCTTAAATGACTATGCAACTTACTGTGACAGGGGGCTAGAGCTTTTCCCAGCTGTCATTAAGCAATTCAGAGTCATTTTACAATCATTAGCTAAACCAATATGTATGTTTCTGCACTGAGAAAAGCGGGGCACCTGAGGAAACTTACAAAGACACAATCCCACACAGAAAGGCCTCAGCTGACCTGCATGCTCGAGCCAGGAACCTTTTTTCCTGTGAGGCGAGAGCACTAATCCATGTCTTATTACTAACGAAGCCTTTTTTTAAAAATATTCATGGTTAGCTTATAAATATGTTACGGTACGCAATTTGCATTTTGAGGAGAAATTTATTTTGAGCGAAGAAAAGCAAAATTTGAGTGAACAAAATTCATTGCTGCGTGCAAAAAATGTATTTCAGTGTTTGCTATTATCCATACACACAATAGCAGCCCCTCTCGCTCAGTTTTTGCATTTGCGCTCGCTCACAATGTGTCGCTCGCGCTCAACTTGTTCTGTACACCGTTATATTTGTGCCACAAAACCAGCCAATCACAGACTTGGATGCAAAAAAAATCTGATTGGCTGTTTTCGTCTCCAATCAGCTTGAAATGACGAAATGCAATATCCCAGAATCCATTTCGTCCAAAACTCAAACGAGGCAGTGGCGGAGGAACACAGAGTGGCGGAGTTTGAAATATTACTCTTTCTGGGTCACAAAATAAACTTTTAAGATATTTTCATGCGAGAATGATGCTGTGTAAACTTCAAATATCTGCTCGATTCATCAAGACATCACATATTTGCATAAGTGCTCTAATGTTTTTGGAGATGCCTGTTACCCACCAGCTGACCGAATACCTGGACTGGCCATTGGGCATTTACCCGGCATTTGCCCGGTGGGCCAATGGTGATTTTTCATTTTTATGTTAGTTTGTTTGTTTTTGTAATGGTATAAACAATGAAAGGTGGTGGATTAGCCAACTGGTAATAATCAACTCTGGGCTGGACCAATTACAATACATCCGTATTGAGGGGAAAAGACTTCAGCGAGAATAAAAAAGACACAAAGCTGGAGTTATTCTGTGTCTTTGCTGCCTCTTCTCTCCTCATTCTCCCTCCCTCTCCTGTTGCTTCTTCAATCATGAAACTGATCAATGATCAGCTGATCGTCTCTCTTGTTTGTTTATCTCCCACTTTGCGCCTGAAACAGGAAACCAGCGGATGTTGCGCTAAACAACAACAGCAGCACGTTCAAAATTGATCAGCTGTTGTTAGAATTTATTTAAAATTAATTTCTAGTATCAGCTGATGTTTGCTGGAGCCACAGCTGTAAAGCTGGAAACATGAAGGTGATACAAATCATACATATATACCAACAAAACAGTGTACATCACTGTCACAACAGCGTTTGTTTTCGTTCAAAGGCTTTATGGTTTTTCCAATAATACCTGGTGGTGTAGTTGGTGATTTTTTTGTCAGTTCAGCCTTATATATTATGTTTAACCCGAGTTCCCACCCGGTCAGCTGGTGGGTAACAGGCATCTCCGAAAACGTTGGAGCACTTATGCAAATATGTGATGTCTTGATGAATCGAGCAGATATTTGAAGTTCACACAGCTACATTTTAACATGAAAATATCTTAAAAGTTTATTTTGTGACCCAGAAAGAGTAATATTTCAAACTCCGCCACTCTGTGTTCCTCCGCCACTGCCTCGTTTGAGTTTTGGACGAAATGGATTCTGGGATATTGCATTTCGTCCTTTCGAGCTGATTGGAGACAAAAACAGCCAATCAGATTTTTTTGCATCCAAGTCTGTGATTGGCTGGTTTTGTGGCACAAATATAACGGTGTACAGAACGAGTTGAGCGCGCACGGGCAGAAATGTTGAGAGCGTGAGCGACACATTGCGAGCGCAAATACAAAAACTGAGCGAGAGGGGCTGCTATTGTGTGTGTGTATATGGATAATAGCAAACACGGATATACATTTTTTGCATGCAGCAATGAATTTTGTTCACTCAAATTCAGCTTTTCTTCGCTCAAAATAAATTTCTCCTCAAAATGCAACACTTGCACCTGCAAACCTTTTTTACGTGCGTTCAGAATAGTGGCACAAAAATAACGCCATACCCTGAAGCGCATGCTCTGCGCTGTTTTCTCATAATGGCGGAGTATTCAGGAAACGGCAATCCACGTCTCCCTGTCTGATCATTTCTTTCCTTTTTACAGGTTCGCATCGTGCCCGAAATAGAATATAATAGCAATCACATCCATTATATAGCATAGATTAATCATTACGGTTGGAAAGTGAAAGCGTACAACATTGTGTAGTACAGTAAATTAGACTTTTGTAAGTATCTGTTTACGGCTTTAGCAGCATGCTATGGTTAGCATGTTAGTTTGGGTCACACACCTATGCTCTGTGATGTTAGTGATCGGCTCCACCGTTATTCTGTATTGTTTTAGTATCTTGTTTTCTGCCATAAAGTGTTTCCATGAATTCAGTGTACATGTCAAGATGGTGCTGATTACACCATTCTTTCAAACTATTTGAGATTTATAGATTTGTCTTGTTGGAATTCATTTTGAACCAAGTCTTACAAGAAAATTGGTCATGTTTATGACATTAGAATGTGTTAATTCCCTTTAGTCTAGTTGGTAACAGAACACATATGGAGAATGTGTGAGCTATGTTAAGAATAATAAATACACAGTTGTAATACTGTAAAAGAAATAAAAGGAGTGCATAATTGTGAATTTGAATAAATAATGGCGGAGTATTCAGGAAACGGCAAGCCACGTCTCCCTGTCTGATCATTTCTTTCCTGTTTACAGGACACATATATAGCTGTCTACAGGTGCTGCCACCCGGTACCTGTAACACCAACATAGACCAAAAATAAAGTTTAATGATTTTTTAAAATAAGATAATACAACTATTGAACCATTTAGTACAAATTTAATTTCCCGTGGTAAATATAAGACTAAAATTGCCATAGTTAAAGCAGTTTTCAATGTTTAGTTCCAGTAGCTTATTAAAAATATGTCGTGTTATTTAGTGCTTAGTCTGTTTAAGAGGGTTATCATGAATTAAGATGATATCAGCACAGACTGGTCAGGTGACAAACTTGATTGAACCTTTTTTTGATGTTATTTATGCTTCTTTTTATTTAGTTTTGTTTTTTCTAATGAGCATCAAACATACCTGTCTGGCATGCCTAGTTGCACTTGCACACAAACATACATCTCGATAAAAGTTGAAATGTTAAAATCTCTAATGTTGTAGTACCTAAATATTGATAAATAAGTACTAACCTGTAAACCTTGATGATTATTTACACCTATGGATTGTAACCTTATAGTAAACAGGAAACAGTCAACTGCATTTTTCATCTTCAGTGCTGAATTATGAGAGGGCTCACCATCGTTGAGGTCCTGCAGCAGGTTTTCCTGGCCGGAGAAGTCGAGCTTGACTTTGATGTTGACAGTCAGTGTCACAGACTGGCCCGGCTTTAGAGGCAGGTGAGACAATGCCTCATCTAACTCCCAGCTCAGAAATTCCCCAAACACTTTTTCTGCAAACACACAAAACAAACATAAAGGATCGGTGAAACAAAGAAATATCGGAAAACAAATGCCAAGGAATTTCCCATTGGGATACAAGGTGGCAAGACGTGGATGCAAAAGTATTTGGTCAAAGTAAACAGAGACGCGCATGGAGCCATTTGAATGCAGCTTGCGCAAATGTGTGCTTACCAGAGCACTTGTTGGTGTGTGTGTGTGTTTTGTTCAAGACAATGGAAAGAAACAGCATCTGAGGGGCATCTGATTTACCTGCCTCAGGCTGCACCATACAAGGTGTTACTATCACATTTCTTCTGCAGTAAGCTTTCAAGAGCAACAAAGCCGCCGATGGATCTTTTACCCACCAGTCTCTCGGTGCCCGTCACTATACCTGATGCTCTAATTTATGCCACAAACTCCTGCTACCTGCAAAAAATGGCTCAGCTGCATCCACTTCAGACAGAAGTGCCAAATGAATGATACATCACCTGAATAAAAGCATGTGTTCTGTCTGTGCAGGTGAGCCTCTCCTGCTCTGAGGTATTGGAGGAACAGCAAGCAGGCTGGGTTTAACACGCACTCACAGAATAAAGTGATATGCAAGCTCGCTGCAAGAACAACGGTTTACAATTCCCTGCTTGATTCATAAGCAAAGCATGTAAAAACCCTTTAAGAGGATGTGAACAGAGGCAGCATTAAATAAAGATTTTGTGAATAACACTCCCCTTTAAATATTCATAAACTCAGAGCTTTTTGCAGTGAATTAAAGGAGAGGGGGGGAGGCAATGAGATGAAGTAAATGAAAGGGGAAAGGGGGAAGCTATTTATTTAAATATGCAACATCAGGCCTCACATTTCTACAGGTAAACAGCTATGATTGTGGATGATGTCATCACACTCTTTGATTACAAGTCACAAGAATAGCAGCAGAAATGAGGCCTGTCTGAGGTGCAATAGGGCGAGAGTACAGGCCACCAGTGCAAAGCAGAGCTAATTTTAAAAGCCATGTAATCAATAACACCACTGTGAAAGTTGTATTGCTCAGCTGTGTTGGGTTAAAGATGCGCTCTACATTCGAATTTTAAAGAGATTTATGAATATCATTTTCAATTTTCAAACAAACGTCAAGCTAATGCTCAATTTGCATAATTCTTCTGAAAAACCAATCATTTCAAATTAAGATTACAAATCTCTAGCTTAATAAAATCAGTAGTCAGACACATTTCTCATGATCAAGTCTGTCTGTAGATTCAAGAGCTGTGTTTCTCTGAGCCACTGTTCTGGCTGATTCTGCTATGGAGCTCTCCTTTGTTGATGACCAGATCTTTTTTTAATGAGCCATCACCAATACACTTAAAAAACCTCACAGGACAAAATGCAGTCCTGTTTAATCAGATTTGATCACCTGCGTTCAACCTTCTCTGTGTAAATGTACATTTTTGAGAGCTAAAGCAACAAGTGTTAAAAATTATAGTTGTTGCAGTGACTAACTTTGATTACAAGGTGATGGGAGGCAACCTGTCTTCAAACAATTGCGGCCCAACTCTTGTTGTCATGTAATTGCTTTCCAATTTACACAACCCATTGCGGTCAGTCTGAGTCAGTCTACTCCGATGAGCCTGTGTCTCTTTACAACTCAACCAGTGGACAACTGACTGTATTCTAGTCGTATTCAAATATGAAAGTGAGTCGAGGAATTTCACATCTGTGAGGTTCTGACTGGACACCGAATGTAAGTAGACGGCAACAGATTTTCTCCAATTCATCACAGTTAATCACCGTATCATCACAAACAGTTTGCATGAAATTGCTAACCTGACCTCATTCAACCACAAAGAGCAGATTAACTCCATCTTATTATGTTTATTTGCAAAATACCAACTGAATGTGAAAGATCCTTGGCTTAAAAGCAGCCATTGTGCAAGTCATTGACAGACCACCACAAACATTTTGTTCGTGCACTGGTCTCCAACCACTGTGTTTGCTAATGTGACTACAGCAGAAAGTAGGAAAATGACAGCTGTTTCCTGTCCTCCTTATATGCTCTGTATAGTTTGACGCAGCTTCTGTTTTAAAAATAATAATAATAATAATAATAATAATAATTCTTGTGAAATTGCAAGCATTGTCTTGAGTGACTGTGATTAGCTGCACTGGCCCCATCAAAACCAGAACATGTGTTAGGTGCCCCTAGTACTCCGAAGGGAGTCATCCTGATGGAGTCAAATGACAAAGAAACGCAGAGGCAGCCGACAGTCTGCTCCTGGCAACACAGTCACTGGAGCATTAATAATCCCGTTTACCTTTCATGTTACGGGCTGTGCAGACAAAAGTATTTCATCCTCGTGAGACATGAATTTGTACAGAAGTGTTTCTGAAAGACGACTGAAGCGAGGTTTATATCTAAAGCGCAGCAATGAAGTTACAGTGATGAACGAAAGGTCTGACACCAGTTTATTTTCTGCTATTAAGAAACGATTCAGTTTATGTCTATGCTTATTTAAAACCAATACAATAAATTGCTACCTTTGTTATCTATACAGTCGTATGAATATATTTATTTCTGGGAAAATGGCGCGGTCTCATATTCCAAGATGGCTGTGTGCGCGCTGCGGCAGAAAGAGTAATGTTTTGTTTGTTTTGCCACAGATGTCTTCCTATTGTGACTGTGCTCATCTTTTATTCATTCAGCTCCCAGAGAGAATGGAGAGAGAGGCTCTCTCAGCTGTGGCCTGTCTAAAGCCACTACCAGTTTATGACAAAGGAGGCACAGGTGGGAACAAGTAACACGATGATCAGGAAAGACTAGTTTTGTCCACATGGTGCTACACTACCACAGCCTCTGTCCCCAGACTGGATCAGACATGCAGCCCAGGCGTGATATCATAATGCTGAGTATATGTATGACTGAACAACGCCTAGGGAGAAAAATATGAAGTACCACAAGTTTATCAATGCATGAAACCTGACGACACTCAACTCCACAGGAGGCCAGACACAAAATATGCAATGAGAATTTGTGCACCTGACACATTCTCACTCAGTCTTAGTGTGCGATGTTAAAGTAGTGATTAGTTTTCCATCTAAATGTAGCACAAAAAAAATTAGCAAAGAAAACATGCAAATCAACACATTTTCCGCTGAACAGCTGTTGCCGTTAATTCTTCCAGGTGGGCCTCGTTAAGTCGCTGAAGAAGAAAAAGCTCAAAGAAAATTATGTTAAGACACAACGTAACCTTAAATGAATGCTAAAGATGGTGAAAAAAATGGCATTTACTTTCATGATTGTGATGAATGATGCTGTCTGTTCAATCCAGGAAAAAAAACACATTGAATGCTTCCATCCGCCACCAAAACGACATGTTTTGGTTTTTATTGCTCCATTTTTACTCCAGCTCAATCCGAATTTTCACCAACTTTAAGTCAAGCGGAAGAATGTTTTGTGAAATTTTTGCCAGCCAATTCTTTTTAAGATGTCTGCTTCAACTCATCTAAAACTAACACACAGCTTTAACATGAGTGCTGTACATCATTGAACATCTTTGAGGTTTTATACCCATTACTGCAAAAACTGTGTTTCAAATGTAAAGAAAAACAGTTAACATTAACATCATTAGCAGCACTGGTTGGCGGTACTGATGCTTACTTGATGGTTGTTTTGTTTTTCAAATGGATTTGAAGAACATACTAACTAAAGATGTTCTTTTCTAATAAGAGGTAAATCACAATCCTTATACGAGTGTATTTTATCATCAAAGTTAATGTGTTAGAAGCGTAAGGATTTGATTAAGTTTGAAAAAGCCCAAGTTGTGTTGCTAGAAGACTGGGTCACAGCAGCTCTCGTAGGGTGGTTTTGGTCTGCTGTGGTCACTAGCTGTTATAAGAAAGGACCAGTAATGAACCAGTGACAGAGTCGTAAGTGGCAAAGGCTCACTGATGCATGTGGGTATTGAAGGCTGGTCTGTATGGTCCGATCTAACAGATGAGCTACTGTAAGTGCTGAAAAAGTTGATCTCACTTTTCCTGTTTTGGCAGCAAAAGCAGGAACAACACAATATTAGGCATGTGTTCGTAGTTTTATGCCTGATCGGTGTACAGACACCATACTGTTTTGCAGACATGTATAAAACTATACACTTGTTTCTTGCATATATTTCCATCTGCACCTGTTTTCCTTACACAGACACACGGAGAGGGTACAATTATCAAAGTGGTCAGTTATTTAGAGTTACGTTTTCTCACAATCAAAATGTTTTGCTATGATCTGATATGAAAGGCACCTCTACCCAACCCTGACATGCACATTTTAAAGTAACCCAAACCCTTTTTATAAGGTGATCGCCTCTAACATAGACAGCAGCAGAATGATGAAATGATCTGTTTACAATAGTTATCAAAAAGGGTCCCGGCACTCCAAGAGAACAAGGTAAAATAAAGATGCTCAAAAAATGTTTTTGATGCTTCAAGAGTAATTTCTGTCTATGACAAGTTCATGTTTAAAGTGAGCGCTTGTTGACTTTCTTGAAGACATTCTCTGCATTATGATATCCATTGTTCCTGCTTTAGTCTCCAGACCATGTTTAGGAATCACAGAGGAGATTTTCTGTTCCAGAGCCTAAGGTTTGTAAATCTGGGGGTAAACCCATTTGTTTTAATCGGCTGATGGGGGGAAAACAAAATTATTTTTGAAAACTGTTGCCTAACTCTACAGAAACTGTAGCTGAAGCTTTCTGAAAGCCTAGATAACAAAATATATAAACCAAAACAGTATTTTGGTATAACAGAAGATGGGGTAAGGCTGAAGTGTCAGTTATACACACTGCAAAAAGCATCATCTCTTCACTGCATCGCAGAAAAAAAGAAGAAAGCCAATTTGGACCCTGTCTGTCACCTGAGCGTCCTTGTTTGCACACTTTTTTGGATTCTTAAAATTACTCAATGATAACATGTACAGTAAATGAAATGTGCAAGTTTTTTGCTGAACTATCTGTACGTAAAGTCTTTCTCTGAG